AAGCGTTCATAGCGACGTTGCTTTTTGATTCTTCGATGTCGGCTCTTCCTATCATTGTGTCGCAGAAGTCACCAAGTGTAGGATTGTTCACCCACTAACAGGGAACGTGAGCTGGGTTTAGACCGTCGTGAGACAGGTTAGTTTTACCCTACTGATGAACGGTTGTCGCGACAGTAATCTAACTTAGTACGAGAGGAACCGTTGGTTCAGATATTTGGTCATTGCGGTTAGCTGAACAGCTAGTGCCGCGAAGCTACCATCTGTAGGATTATGACTGAACGCCTCTAAGTCAGAATCCATGCTGGAAAGCGACGATATTCACCTCTCCCGATGTTACACGCATCACGATAGGCTTCGGCCGAGCATCATACTCCATCGCAATTTCGAATGTTGGGAGGGATAAATCCTTTGTAGACGACTTAAATATGGAACGGGGTATTGTAAGCATGAGAGTAGGCTTTGTCCTACGATCTGCTGAGATTCAGCCTCTTGTTCCGGCGATTTGTTAATGTGAAAGCAGACAGCGAGCTTCTGTGCGCCCTCTTCCGAGAGTCGAGCTGCACGTCGATCCATCTCTTTCGCGCTCCCCCCCCAATCAACCCAAACCCAAAACCAATACAGCTCCAATTGGAGCGAACCAACCCAACCCAAAAACAAAATCCGTGCCTTTTTGTGCGGGTTTCTCTTCTGCGTCTCTCGACGCAACACTCTACTCCAGAAGACCTTTTTAAAACCAAGCCGCTTTCGTGCGGGTTTTATCTTCATAGCGATCGACTACCACTCGTCGACTACTACTACGACTCATCGAGTCCCACCACTTCTCTGAAAACGCCCAAGTCCAAATCGTGCGGGTTTCTTGGCGACCATTGCCAAGTACCCCCAAGTACCCTGCTCTGGACACTTCGACGCCCGAATACGCCCGTTTCCTCGCGCCGTAAAACGCCGCTCGCCGCCCGCCGCGCCTCGCCCCGCCCCCGCCGGGACTCCCTCTGCTCGACCGACGCACAAACCCGCGCGCGCGCGCGCGCCCGTCGCCGCGCGCGTCCGCGAATGCGGCCTTTTCTCCCGCCTTCGCGCGCGCGCCGCCGCGCCTCCTCGACGCCGCTCGTCCGTCGCGCCGCCCACGCCCCGCGACGACGTCGCGACGCGCCGCGGCCCGTCGCGCCCGCCGGGACTCGAGGAGGTTTCAAGAACGACCGACGCCCGCGCCGCCCCGCCACACCGGCGCGCCGGCCCGACCTTTACGCCCCCTCCGCCGCCAGCTGCTGCGCGGCCTTGTCGTCGACGATGGCCATGCAGTCCGTGATGTTCTGCGCGGAGAGGAGGGAGTTGTCCCAGAGGTGGAGGAGGTGGAGGAGGAGGTTGTGGCGGAGGTTCTGGCGGACGAGCTGGGACGCGAGGTCGGCGGCGAAGGCGTTGACGGCGCGGGGCACGGTGCGGTCGGCCTGGATGGGGTTGCGGAAGACCCAGCGGTTCCAGAGCTTCATGAAGGCCTTCTCCTGGGGCGTGACGTCCTCGAACTCCTCGAGGAGCTGCTCCGCGCGCTCGAGGCGCCACTCCTCGTCGACGTCGTCGTCGCTGTCGTAGCCCGCGGCGAGGAGCTGGGGCGCGATGGGCGCGGACGTGCGCGCGTGGTAGTACTGGCGCGTCGGCGGCGGCCGCGCGCGCGCGGCGGCCGCGGCGGCCGCGCCGGGCGGCTTCGCGGCGTCGTCCGCGGCGTCGGCCGCGGCGACGGCGGCGAGGCGGACGGCGGCCGCGTCGGCGGCGGCGGCGCGGGGCACGGCCGGCGCGGCGACGGGCGCGCCCTCGCGGCGGAGGTACGAAAAGTCCGCGGCGCCGCCGCCGTCGCCGTCGGCCGGCGCGTCGCCCGGCCGGGGCACGTGGAGCTCCGCGGGCGTCGCGACGACGTGGAGCCGGTCGCGGTCGTCGAGGAGCGCCTCGAAGCGGAGCTGGGGCGAGTGGTGCGCGGCGAGGTGCGCGACGAGTCCCCGCGCGTCGCCGAACGACGCCGCGCACCACGCGCACGTGGGCTCGTCGACGCGGTCCACGCGCGACGCGAGCCGCGGCGCGGCGCCCGGCCCGCTCGCGTCGTAGACGAGGTGGTAGAAGACGCAGGCCGGCGCGCGCGACGGCGGGTCCGCGGTCGCCGCGGCCGGCGGCGCGGGCGGCTCCGCGGCCGCGCCCGCGGCCGGCGGCGGCCCGGCGACGGGCAGCGCGCTCAGCGCCGCGCCGACGGGCAGCGTGAGCGCCGCGGCGCCGGCCGAGCCCTCCGGCGCCGCGAGGTCGAGCGGCGCGAGCGTGATCGAGTCGAAGCCGCCGCGGCGGCCGGGCCCGCCGGCCGCGAGCAGCGCCTCGAGCCCGCCGCCGCCGGCGCCGCCCGCGAGCTCCGCGAGGGGCCGCAGCGCCGCGTGGCTCGCCCGCGCGAGGGGCGTCGCCGCGCCGCGCTGCGCGACGGGCCACCGCGCGCGCGCGTCGGCCTCGCCGACGACGGCCGCGGCGAACGCGCAGCCGGACGCCCAGTCGAGGCGGTCGGCGCCGCCCGCGGGCGCGTCGAAGAGCTGGAGCGCGACGACGAGGTCCCGCTCGCCGGCGAGCGCCGCGGAGGCCTCGACGCCGAACGCGACCCAGACCTCGTCGCCGCCGCCGCCGCCGTCGGCGTCGGCCTTGCGCTTCTTGCCCGCCTTCTTCGCGCCCCGCGGCTCGCGCGCGACGGCGAGCCGCAGGGGCCGCGCGGCCTCGAGGGGGCGGTAGCCCTCGGCGCGGCGCTCGTAGAGCGTCAGGCACAGCCACTTGTCGCCTGCGGAGGGGCGCGTCCCCCGGCGCGCGGCGCGGCGCGCGGCGGACGCCGCGCGGCGCCCGCGTCGGCGACGGCGCGCGCGGGGTAGGCGGCGAGGTCCGCCGCGAGCCGTAGCTTCACGTAGCGCGGCGACGCGACGGCCGGCGTCGCCGGCGCGTCGCCGATGCGGGTCGCCTCGGGGCAGTAGCTCAGCGTCCTCCGCAAATACAGAGGGTTGCGAGCCTGGCGGCGCGCGAGGTATTTGGCCCAGAGCGCCGCGGGCTCGTGGGCGCTCTTGAAGAGCTCGTCGTCCATGGACGAACCCGTGCTCGACCCGTCCATGTTGTGCCCGGGGCCGCGGCGGGTCGGCGATTCCTTTCAACATCGACTTCGCCGCCTCCCGGGCTCGTAATTGCCTCGAGTTGAGGGGGGTCAGTGGCGCCCTCGGCGCCCTCGGCGCCCTCGGGACGAGGGCGCCGCCCCCTCGGCCGACGCCCTCGGACCCTCGGACGGCGGATCGGCGCCCTCGGACGAGGACTCGGCCGTCGGACGAGCGCACGGCCGTCGGACGAGCGCACGTCCATCGGACGAGGGCGGCGAACCGTTGGTGACCCCCCGGGCGCTGGATGTACGGGCTGCATGATTGATGACAGGCTTTGCACCCGCGCCGCTCAGCGAATACGCGGAGATGCGCAACGATCTCAGTGGCTGCATGGGCCGCATCCTGACGGACGACGCGCCGGTGAAAACGGGACGTCCAGGCGATGGCGTCGGGGAACAGGCGGGCGATTCTCAGAGGCTCGGGTGGGGCGCGCTCGACGCCTCCCAACCCATCGACTCGTTTCGAGTCACTGCAGCATCGGGAATCGTTCGTCGTCACCCAGGCGTCGTCTCGGTACAAGGGCTGGGTCGTGAGACTCGAAATCGTCGAGTTCGTCCGGTCGGGGCTCGGGCGCCGCGGCGGTCCGACGGAGACTCCGTGATGATCCACGGCAGCACCAGCGTCAGCAGCCAGGAGAGATCATCCCTGGCCGCCCCCGGGCCACGCTCCATCATCGACTGGGGCGACTGCGCGGCCTAGGACCGACAGGACCTCGTGCCCGCGCCGACGTGTAGGCAGCCCACGGCGCCGCGAGGGGAAAGCGCCGCACGGCCGCCGCTCTTGGCTGCGCCCCGTCTCGGGGACCGTCGCGACCGTGGGCGTCAATGCCGGCACCCACGGCGCGCCCAGGGACGCCCAAGGGCTGCGCCTTTGGGCTGCCGCCCCCCCTCATAACCTTAAAACGACGGATGGCCGAACCTTCGGGAAGGGCTGCTGATCGGCCGGGCGTGCCTTGGCCAATCAGCGGCCGTCGGCGCCCTCGGCGCCCTCGGACCTTTCGGACCCTCGGACGCTCGGCTCCCTCGGACGAGGGGAAAATCCCTCAGCCGAGGGCGTCGGCCGAGGGGGCGGCGCCCTCGTCCCGAGGGCGCCGAGGGCGCCACCGACCCCCCTCAAGCCTCGAGTTCCCCGGCGAGCCACTCGTGGCCGCGTCTAGACGGCACGGCCGGCTCGAGCCTCGAGGCAAGAGCTCGTCGACGCGCGACGCCCCTGGGACAACCGCAGGCAGGCAAGGGGGTTGTTAGGCGGCGATCGTCGCTCTCCGCGGCGACCTGCGTCGCTCGCGCTCAGAAGGCCTTGAGGCCCGCGCAGATGGAGTCGCGCGCGGCGGGGCTGACAGCGTTGGGGCCGACGTAGACGTCGAGGAGCGCGTCGGCGACCTTGGGGGCGTCCACGGAGGCGACGACGGCGCCGCCGGCGAGGAGGTCGACGGTGCCGCCGGGCTTGAGGCGGAGCACGATCGTCGACTTGTTCGGGAGCGTGTCCGCGAGGCCCGCCTGGCAGGCCTGGGAGAAGGCGTCGGTCTCGGCCTTGCCGGCGCGCGGGAGGACCTGCTCCTCGAGGGCCGTGACGAAGGTCGACGTCGACACGTCGCGGACGAGCGTGAGGCGGAATTCGTTCGTGGCGCTCGGCGCGCCGCGGAGCGCCGCGAGCGCGTCGCCGTCAGCGCCCACGCGGAGGTCCGGGTGCGCGTAGAGGCCCACGACGTAGACGGGGACGATGCCGTACTTGGCCCGCACGCCTGAAAAAGGGGAAGGGCTCGGTCGGCCGAGCGATCGAAAGGTCCGGGGACGCGGGCCGCGCGCCGCAGCCCGCGAGCTTGAGGGACCCGGCCTCGTTGGCCGCCGGGAAGCTCACGCCGCCGGCGGTCATCGGCTCCCCGAGGTCCGCGAGCGTCGCCTTGCGCGACGGCGACGACGCCAGCAGCTCCGCGGCTGGGGCCTTCTTCTGCCAGAATTTCCATCCATCGCAGCGCGCCGCATCGTTCTGCGCGACGACGAGCGCACCGCACGAGGCGGCCGCCGCGGCGGGGAGCTGGAGCTTCGAGGAGAGGCGGGAGGCGAAACGCGCGGCCATGGAGACGTAGGACTCGTCGACGCGGTGCCTGCGGGAGTTCAGAGAGGTGAGAGATGGTGTCACGGGGTGGGCGTCGAGGCGGCGGCACGTCGAAGCGATAGCACGCGGCCCCGCACCGGCGAAACGGTGCGGGGGCCGGGGGACCGCCGGCTCGCGCGGCGCGCGATTCGAACGGACGAGTTCCGAAGGAGGCGGGCACGTCGCGACCACGCGGCGGCGCCGAGGGCCCCGCCGCACGGCGCCAGCGCTGGCGCCGGGGCGCCGTCGGGGCACGCCGCGGAGCTGCGGCGCCCCCAGCGCCCCCCTCGAGCCAAAGGCGGCCAATCTCACGACTGGGATCCGAAAACCACCCCCTTGACATCGCCTCTCGCCCTTCGCGTTCCGCGCGTCCCCCGCGCGTGGCCCAAAGGAACTCGAGACACCGTGCGCGCACCTTTTTGCGGCTAAATTCTCGAGCAGCGGACTCGGAATGCCTGCCAAGTTGACCAAGTTGCCTGTCAGCCACGGTCGCCGGCCTGGACCAATCGAATTTCTCCACAGGCGCCGCCGGCGCTGGCAGCGCGAGATGTCGACGTGATGGCGCTCCGACCGGCCCAAACTTGGTGAGAGTCGAGTACTACCTTGGGTGCGACGCTCTGCAAAGTTTCATCGCGCGAGCGCGTCGTGCGGGCGCGCGCGGCTGGGAGCGAGATCGTCGCCCGAGGCCGGGAGGGCTCGGTCCTGGGCTCCAGCACGCGCGCACCGGTAGAAATCGACACCTCAGCCGTTTTCGCGTCGGTTGATACATTGGCCACGCTGTCGCGAACCACTTTTGGGTGCCCGCTTTCGCATTCGCCGACACGCGGTCGATGCGCGGCGCCTGCGCGACGGATTCCCGAAAACGCGCACCGCGGTGTGGTTCTGGCCGCAGGCGATGATCTGGATGTAGTCGAAGGCGGTGGGCATATGGTTCGTGCCCTCCAAGGCTTTGAAGTTGGTGTGTGCTGCGATATCGGCGTGCCAGAGCTAGTTTTGGACCAGCTGCTCCCAAACGATTCGTTTCGGGGCCAAACGCAGCGTTTCGCGTCGACCGATCACCGTCGCTGCGTTCCGCCGGGCGGATCGACATCATAGAGCTCCTACGTGATGCTCTACGTCGTCTTCGACACCCAGAAGATGCCCGACACTCGCCGAAGGCGCCTCGGCCGAAACCGGCGGATGGTCGCCGCGGGCCAGTGCGGCCGCGTCTGGGCTTTCCTCGAGGTGTCTGCGGTCCGTGCGCCCGACGGGGGTCCCGATGGCTTCTCCTGAGCGCCAGGTTGCTGCAGAGAGTACCGTGGGCCGCGTTTAGGGGGCCAACCACCTGATTTCCACCTTAGAGCACTCCTTGGCACGCCCTATTCAGCGCCCGCGCGCCCCGCTGACTCGCACTGAACAAATCGATTTCAAATCGACGCTAGTCGCTTCCACAGTTGTCCCGAAAGAAGTCAAGAGAGACATCTTGGAGTGCGTTTAGGTGAAATTCAGGTGTTTTGGACCCCTAAACGCGATCCACGGTACTCTCTGCAGCAACCTGGCGCTCAGGAGAAGCCGTCGGGACCCCTGTCGGGCGCACGGACCGCAGACACCTCGAGCAAAGCCCAGACGCGGCCGCACTGGGCCGCGGCGACCATCCGCCGGTTTCAGCCAAGGCGGCTCGGCGCGTGCGGGACGCCTTGCGGTCGCCGACGACCGCGTAGAGCTTCACGCAGGAGCTCTATGATGTCGACCGCCCGGCGGAACGCAGCGACGGTGATCGGTCCGCACGAAACGCTGCATGCAGCACCGAAAACCCTCCGATATAGGCAATGTCGAGATTTCCAGGCGGCAGAACAGCTCCAAAAGCGCTTCGCCGCGAACCAGAACCCGTCCAGGGGGTCCGCCGATACGTTCCGCGAGTACGGCAAGCTTTGGTACGGCGAGCGCAGCGCCTACAGCCCGAACACATGCGCTCGGGCGCTCGTCGGGAACGCGCCCGAGCGCCTGAAATCGGGTGTCCGGAATCGCACGCTCGACACCCGGAGTAAGCGTTGACGCGTTCAACACCATGCAAGGAACGTAATCGAAGAGGAGGTGTCGTTCTTTAGCGCAAAATCACGATTTCCAGCGGCCGCAGCCTTGCCCGCGCGCGAAGACGCCGACCGTTACTCGTCTTCCAGCCGTCGTCGCAGCGAAAAAACGCGCAGGCGCCGCCAGACAAGGACTGTGCCCGAGCGCGTGGGTTCCCCGCGGCCCGGGGAAGAAAACTGACAGCGGCGCGACGTGATTAAGTCCAGAGACGTTCCCATCGTTTCGTCTGGCTGATCTTTTGTCCGCCAGCGACCGTGCAGCAAAGGTCGGAGGTGTCGCTGAATTGCGGCAATTCCAAGGGGATATAAATCTACTATTTATTACCCCTTGGCAATTCCGCCTGGGCACTCTGTTGCGCGCGCGCCGCCGCGCCACGACGCGTTCGCCGCTGCGCCGAGCGCCAGCGCCTCTCGCGCGCGCCGAACCGCCGCGTCGCACCGCTGCGCCGTGCGCCGAGCGCCGAGCGCAAACCACAAAGCACAAACCACAAAGCACCAGCAAAAACATGGTCAAGTTCCTCGACAAGCTCTCGGATCTGGCAAAAGCGGCGCTCGGCCAGAAGAGCGGCGCGTCCTACGACGCGCGCGTCGTCGCCGAGTCGCAGAAGCGCTACGAGAGCCTCCTGCGCGACGTGGAGCGCATCTTCCCCGGCGTGTCGACGATCGTGCTCGCGACGATCGGCGGCGACGTGCTCGCGCGGCACCCGCGGCCGCCGAGCGCGTCGAAAGCCGCCGTCGACGACTCGGAGTTCGAGGACATCCCCGCGGAGCTGCGGGCGCTGGACGACGAGATGACCGCCGGCGACCTCGAGTTCGACGAGTTTCTCGTCGGCGTCACGGCCGCGTACCGCGTGTCGCGGATCTACGTCGCCGAGGCTTTGACGCCGGACCGGCCGAAGCGGCCCAAGGCGGCGACGGTGCCCCGGTCGCCCCTCTTCCGCGCCGTCGGCGCGCGCGTCTCCTTCTGGGTCTACGGCGTCGACGACGGCCACGTGCTCGCCTTCCACGCGGACGCCGCGTGCCACGCCATCGACTCGACGGACGCGGACGCGCGCGTCGCCGCGGTCGTCGACAACATCCGCGTCGCCATGCGCGGCGCGGCGACGGCGCGGCGGCCCGTGCCCCGGCGCAAGATCAAGGAGCGGCCCTGGACGCCGGGCGCGAAGCGCGCGGCCGCGTGGGGCCGCGACTCCAGCGCCTACGAGAGCGCGTTCCCGACGTCCTCCAAGCCGCCGCCGCGGAACCACCCGTCCGACTACGCCAAGCCCCCGGCCCCGGCGGAGCCGCCGAAGCGGCCGTCGTCGGAGCCGCCGAAGCCGCCGCCGTCGAAGCCGCCGACTTAAGTTCAATTCGCGCGGAGATTCGTCGCGCGCCCGAGGCGCGTCTAGATTCTCCCCGGGCTTCGTGCGCCGGTGGCCCAGGGACGTCGCGGGGTCGTCGACTCTGTGGGGTAGTTCAGGCTGCGCTTGCGGTAGGCGGCCGCCATGTCCAAGTGCACCGCGCCATCCACGGTTCCTGGATGGCCGCGCGTAAACTTGTAACAAAAAACTCGAACTCAGGCTGCCCATTTTGCACTTTTCATATCCTGATGCTGTGCCTTGCCAGCGTCTATCCGCTGGCGTCCGACAGGTCTTCCCTCGAGGCGCCAAGGGCGACGATGAGAGTTGCTGTCAAGCGTCAACATTGAAGCAAAAGCCTCGACGCCCCCCAAGGCAAAGGCACCAACCTCGAGGCCTAACCCGGCTGCCCTCGTCGCGCCCGCGCGCCTCCCCACGATGGCCGCTAGCGAGAGCGATCTCGAGAAACTCAAGGCGCTGGAGCGCACGAAGACGGCGGAGGCGGGGACGGCGGCCGCGGAAGCGCGGGCCAAGGAGGCGCAGCTCGCCGAGGTCCGCAAGTACCTCCAGATGGCTGAGACGGGCGCGGATGCGGGGTGGGCCCTGAAGTGCGCGCAGCAGTACCGGCCCCTCTACGAGCCGCTCGCGGACATCGACGCCCGCCGCGAGTCGTCCAAGTCGTCGCCCTCCGACTCGGAGTCGGCTTCGGACTCGGCCGAGAAGAAGAAGAAGAAGAAGAAGGCCAAGAAGTCCAAGAAGCGCAAGGGCGACGACGTCTTCGACCGAATTCACAAGATTGAGAAGCAGGCCCGCGAGTGCCAGGCGCAGTTAGACGCGGATCGCGAGGCCCAGGAGGACAAGGACCGCGCGCACGAGAAGGCGTGCGAGCTCAAGCGCATCAAGGAGGACGAGGACTGGGAGGCCGAGTTCGCCGCGGCGCTCCGCGACCGCAGCGCCAAGCGCCTCAAGAAGCTGGCCGACGCCGAGGCCGCGGTGCAGAACTCCGGCGAGTTCCACTGAGCGCGCGCCTCTGAGCCTCGCGCGCCGCGCCATCCCGCCAGCTCCTAAGTCCCCGAAGTCCCGCTAGCAACAGACGCACCTAGAGGGTTTTTAACGACGGGTCCTCGTCCGGCGCCGCGGCGGGCGCGGCCGCGGGCGCGAGCGGCCGCGGCCGCGGGTTCGGCAGCGACCGGAGCGCCGGGTCGTCGTCCGGGGCCTCCGCGGCGGCGGCGGCGGCGTCGGCCCGGCGCTTCGCCCGCCCGAAGACGACGCGCTTCCGCCGCGCCGCGGCCCGGAACGGCGTCGAGAGGAAGCGCGCGACGGACTTCTTCTTCCGCGGGCGCGGCGCGGCGCCGGCGCCGTCCGCGGCGCGGTCGCGCGCGTGCGCGCGGGCCGCCGCGCGGGCCGCGCGGCCGTCGACGGTCGTCCGCGCGAGGAGGCCGCAGAGCGCCTCGGGGCTTGCGGGGAAGAAGCGGGACCCGAGGAGGGACAGCGCCTCGAGGCCGTCGGCGTCGCCCTCGATGGCCTCGTCGCCGAGGCGGAGCATGACGAGGCAGAGCCGCAGGAGCACGACGTGGCGCTCCGACGTCGCGCACTCGGGCCGCTCGCCCGCGTCCGGCGCCGGCGGCGGGGTCTTCCTGCGCGACCAGCGCATGGACGTCGCGCTCCGGAGGAGCGACCGCCGCGCCGGCGCGGCGGCCGCCGCGCGCGCGGACGCGGCGCGCGCGGGCGGCTCCCGGTCGCTCTCGTCGCCCGACGCGTAGTCCGCCCGCTCCTCGCCCTGCTCCAGCAGCAGCTCGCGGCGGCTCGGCGTGCCCAGCAGCAAAAAGTCCCAGCAGCAGAGCAGCAAATCGTCGGCCATGTCGGACGACGCGAACAGGGTCAAACACCAGCCCGACGCGATGGGCATGAGGTCCAGGCCCTCGTCGTCGAGCACGCGCGCGAGCCGCGGCGCGAACTTCGGTAGCAACGCGCCGGCGACGGCCACGAGCTCCCGGAGGCCCCGGAAGTCGGGGACGTAGAGCGGCGTCACGAGCGCCATCAACCCCCGGAACGCGTTGTACGTGCCCGCGTCGACCGTCGTCGTCCGCGCGCCCCCGGACGCGCCGTCATCAAAAACGCGCAGGAGCGCGCCGCCGAGGAAGTTCATGCCCTGGCAGTACTTCATGTCCTCGCTCGCCGTCCGCGCGAAGTGCGTCAGGAGCCGCCGGAGCTTCGCGTTCGAGATCGCGTCCGGCGCCGCCTCCTCCGCGCCGTGGAAGGTCCGCGGCACGTCCAGCGCGATCTCCCGGGGCAGCTCGTCGCTCGGGCTCAGGCGCCCCGTGTCGGACCGCCGCCGCGCCCGCGCCCAGCGCATCGCGTCGTCGTCGCCGCCCGCACGCCGCGCGTTCGCCGCGATCGCCGCGACCTCCGCGTCCTCCTCCTCCTCCTCCTCCTCCTTGGGCTCCGCCGCCGTGCTGCCGCAGGAGCTCCCGGACTCGCCGCCGGGCGCCGCCTCGAAGTTCCGCCGCGCCGCCTCGGCGGGCGTCGCGGCCGCGGGCGACGCGTTCGACGCGTCCTCGGACGGCGCGGGCGACGCCGCCGCGGGCGCCGCCGCCGCGGGCTTCGGCGACTCCACGGCCGCCTCGAGCACCGTCGACCACGCGCGCTTCCGCACCTCCGCCGGCAACCCGCCGTGCTCCGCGAGCAGGTCCATCGCGCGCCGCCGCCACTGCCGCCGCTGCCGCCGCGCCTGCGTGGGTTCGTCGCGTCTCGAGGGGCGGCGCGTGTGTGCGTGTCGTCGAGACGCGGGGCGCGCGCGGCGTTGTCGCGGCACCGCTTCGGCCAGGCGTCCAGCAGTTGCTCGAACCGCTCGACGACCCCCACCTGCGCCTTGAGCGGCGCGACGCGCGGGCGCCCGGCGGCGACCTCGGCCAAGGAGCGCATACCGCTGAGTGGTTTGGTCGCTACGGCGAGGGCAGGCGCCTGAAATTTCTAGAGCCCATGCCAGCAACAGGTTACACTGGAGTGCTCCATGAGATTGCAAACTCTCAACGCTCTCAACGTCTCTCCCGAGGCCGATGCTGTCGCAAACACCGCGCGCTGGCGGGTCACGCAGCTGCGGGCCCTGCGCGCCGCGCCGCGTCGTCGTCGTCGTCGTGAACCACGTCCGCAATCCAGCTTAAGCAGTCCGCAACCGGCCGCGCGGTGAAACCGCGCGCGAGACGCGCGCCGCGGCGGTTTCTTGAGATCCTCCGAGTCGTATCGGCCGGTTGAGACGCCACCGCGCAGCGAAGAGGGCACTTAGAAGCCTGCGTCGTCGTTGCGCGACGGCCGCCGCGCCGTCGGGCAGGCCGCCGTGGCAGGCCCCTGGCGCCGCGGCCATCGCAAGATCAATCACCCCCCGGCGGCGACGAAGGCGCGGAGGCGCGCCTTCAGGACCTTGGCCTTCACGGGCTTGAGCGCGAGGCTCGCGACGAACTCGTCGACCATCTTCGCCTCGACGATCTCGTAGAGCTTGTCCGCGCCGTTCTCCTCGCACCACGTCAAAGCGACGGCGACGTCGAAGCCGTCGCCCTCGAGGCCGTCGCGGAGCTTCGCGAGCTGGTCCTCGAGCGTGCCCGCGCACGTCGGCTGCGCGCCCTCGCCGGGCGCTTTCGGCGCATCCGCCTCGGCGTCCGAGTCCTCGGCGACGGAGATCGCGTTGCGGAGGAGCTCCGCGTCGCGTTCCTCCGCCGACCGAGAGCCCGTGATGACGCAATCGTCCTCCGTAGCGCCGTCCGATTCCTCGCTCCGCTTCTGCCGCTTCGGCGCCGGCGGCGCGACGGCGGCGGCGGCGCCGGCCCGCTCGCGCGCGCGCTTGATCTCGAGCAAGGCCGTCTTCACGCGTCCGAATCTCGCGTGCTCCGAACCGCAGTGGTTCTCGTTGATCGCGAGCGCCTGCCGGTACAGCGGCTCCGCGGCGGCGTAGTCGCCCTTGCTCTTGAGACAATGCGCGATGTTACAAAGCGAGCGCGCGACATGCTCAGACTCCGGCCCTTGCTGGTCCTCGCGGATCGCGAGCGCTTTTCGGAACAGCGGCTCCGCGGCGGCATAGTCGCGGAACTTGTTAAAGAGCAGGCACGCTAGGTGTTCCTGCGCACGTGCGAGGTTCAGGCTGTCCGGCTGCTGCTTCTCGACGAGCGCGAGCGCCTTTCGGTGCAGCGTCTCCGCGGCGGCGAAGTCGCCGTCATCAATTTTCGACAGCGCCAGCTTGTGCACCACGATCCAGTTGTTCGGCATGGCGGCGGCGGGCCTCATTGACCGCTCGACGAGGCTCCTGGGCGGTGCCCCGAGGCGCCGGGGCTGCCGAGGGCTCTCAATAGCCAGCTTTGACCCGCTTGGTTGATCATTTCAGCATCCTCGTTGCTGTTGAACCCATTCCTCGAGCTGTCTCCTTCGGCGTCGTCGAGCGGCTCGTCGTCGACGCGCAGCTTTCGTCAATGCGCCTGCACCTCGCGGGCATGCTCGCGCTGTGCCGCGCGCTCCAGCGCGCGTCGGTGCCGCGATCACACCTCCAGCGGCGGGGCCTGCGCGCGACGGTCGCAACACCACCGCCGGCGGCGCCCGACGCGGGCGTCGCGGCGCAGGTCGAGGCGCAGGGGGCGCTGATCCGGGATTTGAAGGAGGGCCAGGGCCTCGGGAACAAGAGTCCCGAGGTCGTCGCGGCCGTCGCGGAGCTCGTGCGGCTCAAGGCCCTGCTCGAGCCGCCGCCGGACGCGGGCGGCGACGCGACGGAGGCGTACGCGGAGCTCCGCGGCCGGCGCCTGGCCAAGGCCGAGGCCATGCGCGCCGCGGGCGTCGAGCCCTTCGCCTACGGCTTCGAGGCGTCGCACAGCGCGGCGGCGGCGCAGGCCGAGTGGGCGGGTCTGGAGAACGGCGCGGAGGACGAGGGCGCGCGCGTGTCGGTCTGCGGGCGCCTCATGGCGAAGCGCGTCTTCGGCAAGAAGCTCGCCTTCTTCGGGCTGCGCGACGCGACGGGCGAGATCCAGCTCTTCCTCGAGAAGAAGCGCGTCAACGGCGGCCTCGGCGACGGCGACCCGAAGACGTTCAAGAATCTGCTGGAGTGGACGGACGGCGGCGACGTGGTCGGCGCGAGCGGCACGGTGAAGCGCACGGACAAGGGCGAGCTGAGCGTCTACGTCGACGACTGGACCATGCTCACGAAGGCCCTCGCGCCGTTGCCGGACAAGCACAAGGGCCTCGTCGACGTGCAGACGCGGTACCGGCGCCGCGAGCTCGACCTCATCGCGAACCCGGACGTGCGGCGCACCTTCGAGCTCCGCGCGAAGATCACGTCGGGCATCCGGCGCTTTCTGGACGACCGGGGGTTCCTCGAGATCGAGACGCCGACGCTCCACAGCCAGCCGGGGGGCGCGGAGGCGAAGCCCTTCGAGACGAAGCACAACGCGCTGGATTTGGACCTGACGCTGCGCATCGCCACGGAGCTCCACCTCAAGCGCCTGGTGGTGGGCGGCTTCGACCGCGTCTACGAGCTCGGCCGCATCTTCCGCAACGAGGGCGTGTCGACGCGGCACAACCCCGAGTTCACGTCCGTCGAGCTCTACCAGGCCTACGCGGACTACGACGACATGATGGTCCTCACGGAGACGCTCGTCGAGTCCCTGGCGGAGAATCTCGTGGGCACGACGCAGCTGCCCTACGCGGACGAGACCATCGACGTGTCGGCGCCGTGGCGCCGCGTGACGATGTCCGAGGTCGTGAGGGACGCGGGCGTCGACTTCGAGGGGCTGGATTTGGACGAGGCCAAGGCCGCGGCCAAGGCCGCGGGCGTGCCCGCGGCCCTCGCGGACAAGCAGGAGACCCTCGGCTACCTGCTGAACTGCTGCTTCGAGGAGCTCTGCGAGGCGTCGCTCCGGCAGCCGACGTTCGTCACGGACTACCCCGTGGAGATCTCGCCGTTGGCCAAGCCCCACCGGTCGAAGCCGGGCCTCGTCGAGCGCTTCGAGCTCTTCTGCGTCGGCCGCGAGCTCGCCAACGCCTACTCAGAGCTCACGGACCCCGTCGACCAGCGCGCGCGCTTCGAGGCCCAGGCCGCGAAGAAGGCCGCGGGCGACGACGAGGCCTGCGGCGTCGACGAGGACTTCCTCGCCGCCGTCGAGCACGGCCTCCCGCCCACGGGCGGCCTCGGCATCGGCATCGACCGCCTCGTCATGCTCCTCACGAACGCGCCGTCCATCCGCGACGTCATCGCCTTCCCGCTCCTCAAGCCCGAGGCCTAGTCGGGGGGAGCGTAAGCGGTATACGTTGCTGGGGGGTTCGTCGTTGAGTTTTCGTCGCGGGGTTTGGCGTCATTTCGCCAGCCCACAAACTACTTCAACATTGTTTGTTGAAAGGTCAACCCGAGCTGCAATAGTGCTTCAAGCTTCCTGAAAGCCAAAATTACGATGGTGCAAACGCGGTCTAAGACGACGCCGCCGCCCGCCGTGTCCGTGAACGAGGGCGCGGAAGATGACGCGTCGCCCGCGGCCACCGCGACGCCCGCGGCCACCACGTCGCCCGCGGCCACCGCGTCGCCCGCGGCCACCGCGACGCCCACAAATTCTCGGGATTCTCGGCGCTTCTACCCTGCTGAGAGGAATTGCCGCAGATGCAGAATGCACGGGATCATCCAGATCGCGCGCCACGATTGTCCATACGATCCGCGGAAGCTTTCGTGGCGCGCGAACTGTACTCGAGAAATACTCGAGTGGCTGGAGCGTCTCAAGAATCCCCGGCGCCCGGAGAAGTCGCCGCAGAGGCCGAAGTGGGAGCGCACAAAGTCGCGTGATGAAGAGCGCCTGCACGAGAAGGTGCACAACGAGGGCCCCTCTTCCCTTCTCGAAGATGCACTGCTTGAGCTGTGGCGTCAGATCGACGTCTATAAAGGACAGCTCGAGCTTCTGCGAGGCAAGAAAGCGAGCCTGGAGTCGCAGCTTGAGCAAAATCGTTCCGAATGGGATGGCGAGGTGAGCCAAAACGTGGCGATGTTTCGGGCCGAGTTGACGACGCTCAACCGCCTCATCGAGGTCGCGCAGAGCTCGCCGGCGACTCGCCGGCGGTGAGGCTGAGCCGCGCGCGCGTAGCCTGGTCTAGTAGAGCCAGTTTGCCGCGCGGGACGGGGTGGCTCGAGCCCACGGCCGAACGGCAAGCCGGGGCCGCCGAGTCGCGCGGCCGCAGCGCGCGCGGCGACAGCCGGAGGCCTGAGGACCTGTACGACAACGTCGGCGCCCGGAGCCGTCGTTTGCCGCAGAGCGTGGAAGTCCACTTTTGTAGGGCTACTCAAAATGGACGTCGTCCAGGGGATCCACGACATTCTCTTCGACCCGAGTCCCGACGCGGGCAAAGTCCTGCTCATCGCCCCGATGCTGAGCGAGGCGCTCGAGGACGACCCCGCCGACGAGTTCGCGAAGACCTGCGTCGAGATCGTCCAGTCGCCCAGTAGTGACGCCGCCAAAGTCACGGCGCTCAAGTGCCGCGTGGACCGCATGCTGAAGAAGAAGAAGGCGAAGCACGGCGGCGGCGGCGGCGGCGGCGGCGGCGACTCGGGCGGCAAGGGCGGCGGCGGCGACGCGGGCGGCGCGGGCGGCGGCGGCGGCTCGCACGGCAACGGCGGCGGGGGCGGCGGCGCGAAGGACGGCGGCATGGGCGGCGACGGCGGCCCGGGCGGCGACGACATGAGCGGCGGCCAGACCGACGGCATCCAGCAGCGCCAGGGCGCGACGGGCACGGGCACGGGCGGCAACGTGTCGTTCAACCCCACGATCAACGTGGGCGGCGCGCCGCAGTCGGACGCCGCGAACCCGACCCAGGCCGCGGTCGACGCGAGGCTCGCGCGCCTGGACGGCCAGCTGAAAGTGCTGGCGAAGGAGTCGGACCTGGCCGAGGCCAAGGTCGAGGAGGAACGCAAGGCGCGCCGCGCGAAGCGCAAGGCCAAGGTCGCGAAGCGCCTGGAGGAGGCGGCCGACGAGCGCGCGGAGATGCGCGAGCTCAGCGAGGAGTCGAAAGCGGAGGCGCGCGCCGCGCTCCTGAGGGAGGCCGAGGCGAAGGCCGACGTGCAGACCCAGCTCGCGGAGGCCGAGCGCGCGGAGAAGGAGCGCCGCCAGAAGGAGAAGGACGACGCGGACGAGCGCGCGCGCGCCGCGGACGTCGCCGACGCGAACGCCCGGGGCCGCGCCGCGCAGCGCGACGCGCCGGCGCCGGTGCCGGGGGCCAAGGTGAACGGCAAGTACGCCCAGGCCTAGGGCTCGTTCTCGCGCACTCGCCCATGCCAGGCGCCTCGCGCGCGCCGGCCGCCGGAGCGAGGCTGCGCCATTTTCTCCGCGCGCGCATCACTTCCCCAAAACTCCCCTCCCGCGCGCGCGCTCCCCGATGGGTCCGGTAATAAGACTCCGGCTCATCGCGACGTTGTCGGGACGCCTCGTTGAGCTCACCTTGAGTTCAGCGTGTGGTGTCATCAATCGTGCGGCCGCCCCGTCTCGGCGCCGGCGCGACGGCTGCGCGCACGGCCATCCGGTCGCTCCGCGCGTCCTCGCGACGACGCGCGGAGCGCTTTGCGCACGCTGCGGCAAGCCGCAGGCGTGCACGCTGGAGCGAGCGCTGCGACGCGCTCGCGTCGACGCTCGGCAGCGCCGAGGATGGCTGCCGGACCTCGCCCACCGCGACGTCAAGCCGGAGAACGTCCGGACGGCGCTGCGCCAGTGGATGCGCCGCTGCGTCATAAACCTCACGGCCGACGCGGGCGGCGTGGCCGTGCTCAGCGTCATCTGCGGGTGCTGGTGGGCCGCCCCCACGTCGCGCGTCCGGGACCTCGACGACGTGTGGCGGTCGCCGACCTGCGCGGCCTGCGGCGCGAGGTCGCGGTGCCTTGCGGCGCACCTGCTGCTCGGCGGCGTCGAGGACGACAGCGAACCGCGGTGCTCGTGCCCCAGCGCCGCGGCGTGCCGCGCGGACCGGCGGATCTCCTCGCGCTCGGTCGTCGTCGCGGGGCCGCGGCGTCGCCGCGCGGGGCCCTGGCCTTCGTGCGCGCGCCGGACCTCGCCCACCGCGACGTCAAGCCGGAGAACGCGCTCGTCGACGTGCGCGTCGGGACGCGTCAAGCTCCGCGGCCCCGGGCTCTCGGCGACGCTCCGGCGGTGCGCGGTCGAGGCGACGACCGTCTCGCCGGACTGCGTCGCGCTCGACTGTGTGCCACCGCCGTCGCCCTACGAGCCCACGTTCCGGTGCTGCGGGTCCAAGGGCTTCTTCTTCGCGGCGGACATGCTCGACGCGGCCTCGGAGCCCGTCTCGGGCGACCTCTTCTCGGCGAGCGCGAGGCCGTTGCCAGCGCCTAACTTAGCAGACTAGGCGCGCGCGAGGGGGATGGGGGGCGCGCTCCGCTCGCGGAGGCGCGGGGGTTTGCACAGGGGAACAGGGGGAGCAGGGGTTCAGAGGTCCGAGGACCCGCGCTTCCGGACGTCCTTCGAGGGGAGACTGGGAACCGGAGCCCGGCTCCGCTTGGCGGACGGCGCTTGGGGCGCCTGGGGCGGACGCGGGCGCGGCGCGTCGCGGAAGAGCCGCGCCATGGTGGCGTCGTCCAGGGGCGCGCGTAAATGTTCGAGACAATCCTGGACCCACCGCGTGGTCTCGAGCGACTGCTCGACTTTGAACTTCAGGCTCAGGTCCCGCGTCATCGCCTGGAGCCCCCCCTCGCCGACGGCGTAATTCCCGGCCGTCATGGTGATCCAGGCCATCATGTCGTCCGCCATCTCGTTGTGCGAGAGCTCCGCGGCCTGCGCCGGCGCCGACGGCGCCTGCGTCGACGGCGCCCGCGGCGGCGGCGGCTGGGCCTGCGACGACGCCTGCGTCGACGGCGCCCGCGGCGGCGCCGACAGCGTCGACGGCGTCGACGGCGCCTGCGGCGGCGCCTGCGAGTCGAATCTCAGGTGGGAGCCCGTGAAGCGCTCCGGGGCGCCGCCCGTGCGGCGCGCGCCCTTGCGGAGCGCGGCGTCGGCCCCGGCCGCGAGCGCCGCGGCGGCGGCCTCGGCGTGGGCCTGGGCCTCGAGCGCGGCGTCGTCCTGGGCCTGGGCCGCGGCGTCGGCCTCGGCGTCGGCCGCGGCGTCGTCCTGGGCCTCGGCCGCGGCGTCGGCCTTGGGCGCGGCGTCGGCCTTGGGCGCGGCGTCGGGCTCGCGGCGCTGCGCCTCGGCCCCGGGCGCGGCGACCGCGAGGGGCTCGGCCTCCGCGCGCCGCGCGTCCGCGGGCCGCGGCGGCGGCGCCGTCGCCGCGATCGCGGCCGCGAGCGCGCACTCCTCGACGTAGTCGCCGAGGCGCCGGCGCGCGGCCTGCGCCATCTTGCGCTCGTGGATCGACGGGCCCTCCTCGTCGTCGACGTCCATCGGCGCGTCGTCGCTCGGCGGCGGCGGCGTCAGCGGCTGCGTCGACGGCGTCAGCGACGGCGCGATCGCGTCGCGCGCGTCCGCCGTGAGCTGCAAATCCGCGAGCCGGAGGGCCGCGGCGCGGACGCTCTCCGCCTGCGTCGACGGCGACTCCGCGTCGTACCACGCGGCGACGTCGGCGTCGTCGTCCTCGTAGGCGTGCGCCTCGTGCGGAAAGTCCACGTCGTACGCGCGCGCCTCGCGCCGGCCCTTGGCCTCCTCGGCCTCGCGCTGCTTCTCGGCCTCGGCGAGTTGCACGGCGACCTCGCGCCGCGCCCGGTCCGAGTCGATTTTCCAGCCCCACCGGGGGGCTGTTGAATAGACCGGGCCGGTGAGCGGGTCCTCGGCGTCCTCGGCGTCCTCGGCGTCCTCGGCGTCCTCCTCGACGTCCTCCTCGACGTCCTCCTCGACGTCCTCCTCGACGTCCTCCTCGGCGCGGGGCACGTCCGTGGCCTCGGCGGCGCGCCGGTCCGCCAGAATTTCGCGGAGCGGGCGCGGAGGCGCGCCTCCGACCGAGACGAGCGTGTCGCGCGGGTCGACGCTCGGCGGCGGCGACGGCTCCGGCGGCTCCGGCGGCGCCTCGACGGGCGCCTCGACCTTGGCCCGCCGGAGCGCGGCCGCGTTGTCGTCGGCCTGCTGGAGCGCTTTCGGCTCGGCCTTGGCCTTGGCCGCAAAGAAGGCGCGCGGCCGGCACGCGGCCTCCTGGGCGTTGGCCTGCCGGCGCGCGGCCTCGTCCTCCGCGGTCTCGTCCTCCGCGGCCTCGTCCTCCGCGGCCTCGGCGACGACGTCCATGAAATTTTCAGCGTCGTCGACGTCGAGCTCCGGCGCGG